TGGTGGGCGGGACATGACCAAAGTGGGCGGAGTTTGCGACGAAAATTCATGACTTGGCTCCAAGAAGTCCCTGAGGCCGCGGAAAAGGTGGATGGAGGTGGGTGGAGGAGTGGAGGCCAGCTGTCAATGGTGGGCGGGACATGACCAAAGTGGGCGGAGTTTGCGACGAAAATTCATGACTTGGCTCCAAGAAGTCCCTGAGGCCGCGGAAAAGGTGGATGGAGGTGGGTGGAGGAGTGGAGGCCAGCTGTCAATGGTGGGCGGGACATGACCAAAGTGGGCGGAGTTTGCGACGAAAATTCATAACTCGGCTCCAAGAAGTCCAGGAGGCTGGGAAAAAGGGAGTAGAGGTCGGCGAAGGAAAGGAGGTCAAATGCTATTAGTGGGTAGAGCACGCACCTAAGTGGGCGGAGTTTGCCAAAAGTGTCGTAATTTGGTTCCAAGAGGTCCCAGAGACCGGTGAAAAAGGGGGTAGAGGTCGGCGAAAAGAAGGGAGCCAAATGCTATTGGTCGGCAGGGCACGCGAGAAAAATAGGATAATGGTTGACGAAGAAAGAGCGCATAGAATTTAGCGGAGAATTCAGATATTCGTATTGTATCAAGCCAAATTTGAAATTTTTCGTCGCACCATCAAAATTCGCCACAGATCTGTGTTGCGCGCGCAATGCGTGCGGCGCCAACTGGTAAATATTATATGCGATCAGTCGTTGATCACTCGGAATATCCCTTTTACAGATGTTTGAACTGGCCTTCATCGCTGTTTGTCTTCTGATTTTGGCCTATGTCGCCTACAAAGTTGCTACCAGTGGATTCTTTAGCAATATTCAGGTGCAGTTTTAGTTCTATTACTATCACGTTATTCTCTTACATATTGGGTTTTTTCATACTCAAGTCGTTCAGGTGAACCTATGGTTCAGTTTTTCCGATAGTGTGGCCCAAAGAAAGAGGGGTTATAGAAGAGGAGGAGTGGTTAGTGAGGCAATGTTTATTTTGGGGAACACCCTCACAAGTATAATACGGTATACCTGTGGCGCGTTCCCCAAACTGCACCCTCCCCCTGCCCCCCAAGCCTGATATTGGTGTCGATGGAGCAATAATCGGGAATCGAAGTCAAAATATAATCAGAAAGGGCGAAATCCCATTTAAAGATATTGGTGGTGTCATTTATGAATAGGGCTGACACCAGCCAAAGAAGTCGGGTACAGGATCTGAAAAGGAGTTTTAAGATGAAAAAAAAGAGGCTTTCGATTTGGTTTTCGTGGTCAGGTGCTCTGGTAAAATAAAGCAAAACAAAAGTTGTAAAAGTCATTGGCAGGCATTTAACGATCTTTCCTTTCTATATTTTGTTTGGCACGCTATTTTTTTTCCGTCGTACCTCGTTATATTTCAGCCATCTGTCACCGAAGCTCCGAAGTATCTATCCAAATCGCTCACAGTCTACTACAAGCACCATATTGGTGCCTACTCCGGTGTCGGCACGATATTCAAAGAAGTACCTCTTTTAGTTTCTCTGTTTCATTTTTCTCGACGAATTTGCTTTTTTTGATTCACGAGCAGGGGTACTTGCTCGAGTTTATCCGCTGGTAGAGGCTTTTGCATCTTCCGTTTCAGGTGCGCGGACTTCTACCTTCAGGAGCGACGACGTTTGGAATTTTTTACGACAATCCAAGGGTGAGAATTGATCAGTGGATTTTTTTGCATCATGAACATCATGCACTCATAAACTTTGGAAGTGAGCATTCACTAGCTGCCATCGAATGATCTCATTTTTGTAACACTTAAGGAGTTGCTCACTCGAGAAAGGTCGTATCAGCTTATAGAGTTTCCAATCGATCTCCATCGATGAGTCCAATCAAGCAGGCCCATATTTTGTTTGTTGAACAAAGCTTTGTTGCTACCGTCTTGTCTCCGGCTAGTCGTACTGGACATCATTCCACGTGCGCCGCATTTAGCTTCCATTCAGATTACAGAGTCCAGGAGAACTAATGCGATAGGAGATTACCACAGAGGAGAACCTCTCGTCCTCGAGTAGAAGCAGCAGTCCCAGTATCTGCCACTATGTAGTGCTTTTGTGTTGGTGCTGACGGTTCCTTATTGACTCGGTCAAACATTACCGAATGTAATCTCTCCAGAGGTGAACCCTTTAGATTTCACCCTGTGTTCGACGTTCACACTAGCATATTATAATTCAGAGGTTCATTGTGTTCTCAAAGTGATGCTGTTTCTCGAAAGCTCCGGGTTTTACACATTTCACCCCAAAGATTCCGAGTCTTTCCTTTTTATGAAGCTTCCCATCTATGCGTGTACCAGCCACTGAGATAAATTCACTAGTTCTGCTATCAGAGGGGATCCACAAGGCTTCTACTAGAGTTTCGCCTGTATAACTGTAAATGCACGATTTGTACAGAGAGAGGATCTGTGCAGGGCCGTAACTATAATGGTTTTAGATCACATGAAAAGAATTTTTGTTGAAACTGGATTTTATTGCTTTGAGAAGGAGTCGATCTCGTCAGATGGATGACGCGTTGTTCAAAATCAATCAATTTCGATAACGATTGAGAGAACCACTAAGAATTAATTTTTAAGGAACGTGAAGAGCACCTTCTCCAATCTGCAGCCGGGGTCATTTTTGGAGGTTAGTAGTTATCGCATTTAATTTTTTGTCATAATTTTGCAACAATTCAAGCACGGCTGCAAACGTGCCTGCAACTATATTGTGCATTGAAATTCCAATCATTTCGATAGCGAAGAATTCTGAGAACAATGATTCAAGAATCGAGAATCAAGCATGCTGATCGCGGTTGCTGGCCCCTTCAGTTCTAGCTATCTAAATGAATCGCTTTTCTGAACACATTTATTGGGTCACGTTGCTCAGAAACCAAAGCACACAAGTTGTTCAAGTGAATAAGTAAGAAGTAAATGTTGTCAAGTTGTCTAAGCAGTACTCGTCCACTGCACAACAATGGGAGAGCATCTGCCGATTCCACACCCGTTCAGTTGCTGATTTCGTCAACTGCGAATAAGCAGTTGCGGAGAGAATGTTGCTCTTCTCCGCCGAACCATAATCTCGGCCCGGATCTAACATTTGATCTTTCCCATGTCATTCTCGTTGAAAAGTGCGAGAAAGCGAGAGGTTCCAGTGAAGGAGGTACCCATAATAATAGCGGGTTTGCGTCACGTTCGAGGTCGAACGATTTGCCTATAACACGGACCTTCATAGTTAAAAAAAACACGCTGTGAGCTGCGGAATCGTATCTAGTCAGCAAGCTTTGGCGCCACTAAAAACTGTCTCAACGCTCAACCTTCCAGTAGAGAGTGGAAAAAAAACTAGACCCTAAGGAAAGTTTGAATTATCTAGTCCCGTCCGAGAACGAACACATCCCCTATTTCACCACTGATTCCTTGTAACTAAAGTTGAGAAGAGTTTTCCAGTTTTCTTCTGTGTCGACGTAGGGTTGCGACGAAATTTGCCTCTGCCGGAATTTCACTCCAGAACGTCTTCCGAAAAACCTTCTGGAATACGGAGTTCTGTAATTATACCGATTAATAAGGGCTCAAATACTTCCGCTTTTGGGACAGATGTGCTGGCCATTAAACTACCAAACCGAGACTGCTTTCACCTTGATGGCAGCAATTGCCAAAAATCGGATAATCCATGGAGAGAAAGATGGTTAGCGAGCGAAGAGTGTAGTCGTTTCTGAGCAGGCAATAGATGACCCACCTCTGTAGAAGGCGCGTTATCAACATCGTGATAAAATGTCAAAGAGGAGTCCCCAAACGCTCAAAACTCGGACACGCCCATCTGTAGACAAATCACAAAGGAAACAGCAGCCATCGAAACAAAACTGTAATTAAGTTCCCTTCTATCAAGTTGGAGCGTTTCTTGAAAGAAGCTGGTACGCCGAATGTTTCTAGAACATTGTATTAATGCTCCGTGTGTTATCACTTTCATGCATACAATTGACTTTAGCTTGCGAGCGCAATCCGCTCTGCTAACAAAGCCAGGAGGATTACGAAAGGGGTGCACAAGGGTTGGTAAGGTGCATTTCGCACAATGAAGAGGTAATCTCACTAGTCTCCGTGGCTTCACTTATGCCTCCGTTTAAATTTCATGGATCTATTCACTGAACTCAAATTAGAGATTAGAAGAGAGCTAATTTCTGTTGCAGAAGACGATAAAGAGCTCTACACAAACAATTATGCTCAACAACTAACTCGATGGGGATATGAGAAAATGGTTTTACCCAAGGTCGGACGTGTTCAATTCTAATCCCCTTTTTTTGGTTTTCTGGATTAGCAGCTCCATGATCCCATTGCAAGACAAATTTCGCCAAGTATTGCAATTTTCAGATTGAACGTGCTGTTGAAGTTACGCAACCTTATACAGGATCCCTATCAGTGTTTGCTCTAATGTACCGTACTTACGGCATAATCTGGCAGTACATTCTGGTGAGACTTTTCAGCTAACAAGGAAGGTCTTTCAGGGTGTGCCAAGCTTTTTCAAAACGGTCTTTTGCATGATATAGAGGCACATGCGGGAACCACAGAACCATGGTTAATTTTTCCTGAACGGCCCTCTGAATACCAGAAAAGGGGGTCCCTAGTCACACCTTTTTCACCAGTTTTTCAATCAAAGTCTATTTGTAAGGGTTACTGACGGTCCTAATCATGAATTTGGTACTAATTATTCATGCTAACTCCATTTTGCGCGAATTTTGAAACGTCAACTCGAAATGCAAAAATTTGTCACCACGAGGAATCGAACTAGGGACCCTTTTCTGGTATTCAGAGGGCCGTTCAGGAAAAATGAACCATGGTTCTGTGGTCCCCATATGTGCCCCTATGTCATGCAAGAAACCATTTTGAAAAAGCTTGGCACACCCTGAACGACCTCCCTTGTAAGTGAGAAGCGAGCTTGTTTTTAGTTTGTTAAGGGATTGGCCAGATTCTTAATCAATTATCTTCAGGATAACCGACTTGAAACCACTCTGGCTCTTGAGTTCTACGATAGCAACGAGATCTGCGTCTCCTTTCCTCTAGATCACACGGAGGAATTTGTTATACCCGAGGTGATTTCTAAATCGTGTTTCATACCTTCTTTGAAGTCTCACTTCAGGTGTGAAAAATTTGTATGTTTTAAGGTGTATAAAAATTGCTCCCTCCGCGCTACGCTCAGAATAGGCTCTCGCCGCGCAGGAAAAAGTGGTAGTTGTCAGCACAGGTCGCGCTCGGAGCGCGACTGTCGTGCGGCTCGCTGAGAACCCTAGCTTAACACTCCCATGTGTGTCATAGTCAAGGATTTTCTATAAGGGGAATTTTCCCTACTGTTGCAATCTTATTCGGGTGAAGGGATTCAGTTCCAAATTCGCCGCCTTTTTCACTTCTGCGGATCCCTACCAATTCCTCTCAAGAAGACAAGACATTACGTTGAAAACAAGCCGCAGGGTAAAAATGGTCAGCGCACAGATGAAGGTATGGGTTGAAAGTGTAAAAATAAAGCAAAACCATTCATCAAAACACAAAATAAGGGATCAGCCGTTGTGTAAGGTCGGACGTGGCAGTTGGGGTCGGAAGCTCTAAGCTTTAATCTCATCCGTCCCTTTTTATGCAGACCTCCTCCACTTGAGTAGGTTATTGATTGTGAGGTTGCGAAACATTGTGGCAGCTTCAATGGATTTCATCCTTAGCCATTTATTTTTCTGAAGACTCTGTTTTAGCACCTTTCAATAGAAGCTTTGGAGTCAAGACTTGCTAGGAAGAAGTTTGATTCTGATGAAGAGTCCAGCGAAAGTGAAGCCGATCCCCAATCGGAGGTTGAAGTTCCTGACGAGGGCGTGGTGGAGATCAAAGCTGATGCGGCAGGAGGCGATAAGAAAGATGATTAGGCAAATCGCTGTTGTATAAACTGTTTTTGCTTTTCTTCGATGCCCTTTGATATCGCACTGATCCTATTTCCGCTGTTTTCTGTCCAGTTGATTGGTTTTACATCGGTGCCTTACCGAACACTTGTTTTTGCTTCACATGTCAATCCTTTTTTGCTTGATACCAATGAAGTTTCAAGTCTCTCTCTTCTACGAAGAAAAAAAAACCAGAAACTCAAAATGGACGTAATTCTCGGCTCCCATCAGAAGTCGTGAGACACAACAGTGTTCACTTACGCTCACATTGGCAGTGGCGCATGAATACGTATTCAGCCCGGTGAGTCGTTGGCGCCAGTTGATCAGCGTCAACCAGGGTGAATGTCATAGCTCTCTACCATGCGAGAGTAGTGCCGAGAGTGAACATCCGCGCGGAGAGCACAGACGGCACGGCATGGCGAGTGTGAATGTCCGCGCGAGAGATCGTCTCTGATCGGGCAGAGAATCCTCGACGTGCCGTTGAGGAATCCTCAAGCGATATTCACCCTGGCGTCAACCATCGCGTTCGCACTTTTTCAAGATTTTTGCGACTCTCCTTCCTCGAGGTTCTGGTGAGACCTCTGTTGTTGTTGTTTTGTCAGTGAACAAACACATTAAAGCAACATTTCCAGATCGAATTCATGGGGTAAAAAAGTTCGATAACGAGGTTGTGGATAGTCTTCTTAGCGTTGACTGCTAATAGGAAAAAAAAGCGAAAGGAAAAAAAAACGCCGGCGAAGGTTAAAGGAAGCGATCACGCTGGCTTCCACGCTGGATTTGCTACCCTCGCGTTATCAATCGATAAGGTGTGAGGCAGTAATTGTTGGACGAGTGTAAGCCCATGGAAGATATGATACGATGAGATAAGAAGGTGCGGCTGCTTGATAAGAGGTGCACTCCAGAATGAAAACGGGACGATAACGATAACGGTATCATATCTAGCACGCTCTTATCGCACCCCTTTCCACATCGATAAGTCTTGGTTTTTGCTGAACGGAAGTGGATCGATGGCGTGCCACTGCCACTGAAACTTCACGTGTTGTAACATTGGGCAGGACCCTATCCACTCCAATACATAGCTTTCCTTATCGTTCCATGAAAATTATCGTGACTACTTCCTTTAAACAGGAGCTCCCCCTCTTCCCCTTTGGAATGAGGAGCGGTTCACTCGGACGAGTTGTCCGAATTGGCTTGCATTTCTTGCTGGCTCGTGCCATGTGGCTACAATCGCATTTGCCTTAATACAAACAGAGACATATGCAACAGCGCAAACAAAAATTAAATGAAATGAAATTAAATTAATACAATACAATAATTAAATGATTTAAACCAGAAGAACAGCCAAATATGCGCGGATTAGTTCGACGCGGATAGTCAAGCATTGCGAAGGACCGCATCCAAGAGCGATTACAGCTGAGTGTGGTTGCCGACGGTGGGCCCGGTTGCGCCTGTTCTAGAGGTTCAACTCTTCTAGCAACTTTCCAGGCGAGTTCTAGTTCATGCACTTATGTGTAACTGATGTTATACATGTTTTTCCAATTGATCTGATGGTGAACCCTGCTGGGATGATATGAATGATAGCAGTTCTTAGTGTCCCTGCCATCCCATTACTGAAGTTGAATGGGAGTGGATACATCCTTGAATAACAACATGGACCCTTGAGAATATGGCAATGTCGCCGCGCCCGTAGTGACTTATGGTTGGCCGCCCGCTGAGGGGCGTGACCGCCGCGCTGCGGCGTCGACCTGGCATAGTCGGGAGGCTTGATCGCTTCCTCTCAGCTTTGACATTAGCTTATGAATCTTAAGGTATCTAAGAGACGCGGTGGAGTGTGGCTTTAGCTAGGGGCGTCATGCTTCTACAGGCGGCTGAAGTCGCGCACCGAAAATGATATTCCTGTGAGCGACACAAATTGTTTGATATCATTTTCTATTATGTCAAGAGTATTTGGTTATGATCATGACGTCCCTGCTTTTAGGAATTCATGTAAGTTACTCCAAGCCAGGAAGTGCTCAGTTACGAAATTTGGTAAATCCGATGTTCGCTCTAAGGAGCGCACTGTTCTTTAAAGAGTATTTAGCAACTTTGGCGAAGAGTTACGTTGTAATGAAACTTCGAAAGCATCAAATGATTTTCGAATTCAAAGTTGATAGGAAAAATTTGTGGGTCGGATCACTTTTTCCAAATTTCATACGCACGTTTTTTCTTGTGCGGAATGCCGGGTTTTGGAATTTTTGATAACCCCCGGCAGCTTTTCTTCTTTTCATTCTGATATGGGACAAACTTTTTGACCGCAACGGCAGAAAATTGGGGGTGTGTATCAAGTGGTGCGAATGGAAATTTTAGCACCTAATTAGTGCTGCGTCGCGACTAGGTGCGAAGTGACCTCAAATCTTGGCACTTAATTAGTGCTGGCTGGCGATTGGGCGCCAGCTATCTGTGGGCGAGACCGAGGGTAACCCGTCACGTTCGAACGTTTTCGGGGTATTTGCGACCCCCTAACTCTGGAGGGGGTCCAGGGTGCACCCCTGTTTTTGGCTTATAAAGAGGGGGCTACACATGAACTGGGGGTGGGGGAAGCATCTGCGCGTCGTCGCGTCGGCCTTGGAGCGCGGCAGGTATCACCCGGGCGCTGGAAGAACGGGACGCGGCGAAGAAAAAATTTCAGTGGGGAATAACTTTCTTGGGACGTATTTTTTTGACTTGTTGAGGTAGATTTTGATTGTGCCTGAGGTGCGCTTCCAGAAAACTACAAGGATTGCCTAACTCTCCGGAAAGTACTTCTGTTAGAAGTGGAAAACCCAAAATTCTAAGAAGGCGCACCTTCAACTTTGAAGGCCCATAAAATCTTTCGTATGCGACATTTTGGAAATCTGTAAAAAGTTTCAGAAACTTCAAATATTTCTCTAACAAAGTAATATAAAAAGTTTTACGGTTAGAAAAAATTTGATTGTCCTTTTTCAAAAAATTTGTCCCGTTCGAACATTTTTCGTGCAAAAGCGAGTTTTTGGGCTTTCAGCGACCATAACTCACTTCATTTTCATTTCTGTGATGCACTTTTTCATGGGGTGAAAGTACAGGATTTGCTCTTTCTAACAAGCACCAAAACCGTTTTTCAAAATCCATTTTCCGAGAAAATCCACAGGGTTCGAACATTTTGTTCCCGTAGGTTTTTGAGCAGCACATGCGAGTTTTTGAGCTTTCAGCAATAATAACTTCCTTCAAAGAACTTGTTGGGGAGGGGCGAAGACATTTTTGAAGACTACGAGATTTCTGCTTTCTTATGTGTTTTACCGTTGTCTGGAAGAATCGTCCTCAGAAAATTAGGTCCCGAAGAACTTTAATTTCAGCCCCGAGAAGTCAAATTACATAAGGGCAGTGCATTACACGTGTCTCAGGAACCGTGTTGTCTAAAGCTGTCTCTCTGGGTGTCATATTATCGAATCTAATGGGCCCCCGGTCTGGCAAAAACTAATTCTATGCACTCGGATACGCCAGCCAGCGCCTGCAGTGGCGGTTCTTCGAAAATTGGCGACCTCCTTTCGGACAAGAATTGCGACTATCGTTCGAGGCGATTTCGAAAGACCCGGTTGACCTGGGGGAGACGCGCCGTACATGTCCATAATGGTGCAAAGGATTGGAGAACAGCGATTTTGGAAGCGGCAAAGGAGATTTCAGATAAAATGTGGTTATTAATTTATTATTGCTAGTTTTTAGACTTCTGACTCCTGGGAACAAAACAAAGTGAATTGATGCTCATATTTATTATTACTATTGCTATTATTATTATTGTTATTATTATTGATTTATTATTATTAGTCACTACACTTTCTAACTAGGTTAGAAAAATCAAGTGAAGGAACACAAAAATAGATATCCAAAATATGTTCAAATCTCATAAGGAACTATATAGACTTATTAGTTATGTCCGTCTGTCAGAATCTCCCAGTAGCCCGAAATCACGACGCTTATAGGAAGTGTCAAGATTTCCTTGACTTACCTAAAGCTAATTGGCTAGACGGGCCATTTAAAGATATCTGGTGCAAGTGGGGTGTAAAGGAGTTGAGGACTACTAACTTAGCGGAAGCCTTTCACAGGTACGGAAAATTCAAGTCACCATATCCGGAAGAATTGGATAAATACTTTACAGACGATTAGGAGTATTGACCGGCGTGGATCATCCTCCTCTAAGTGTTCTGATAGATGTCCTAAAAAGCTCTCTTATGAAGCTCGAGCTGCCCTCAAGCGTCTGAACGATGTAAGCATCACAAAAATGCAAAATAGTTTTGCCCATGTTATCATTTGTAATTAGATTTAGAATTTCTTCTGGGATCCAGAGAACGCGAGGGCGTTGGCGAGCTAGCTGGCGCCCAATCGCCAGCCAGCACTAATTAAGTGCCTTGGGGTCACTTCGCACCTAGTCGCGACGCAGCACTAATTAGGTGCTAAAATTTCCATTCGCACCACTTGATACACACCCAGTACAGGTCTTGCCCTTTTCTAAAAAGAACATAATCGTTTCTGAAGGCCCATTTTTTGAAGAAAATTACACATCCGCACTTTTTTTGGGGGTTTTGCCGGTAGTTTTTTGAAAATGCGAGTTTTCGACTTCCCAGTTATGATAACACTCTTCATTTTCAATTCTTTGGCAAACTTTTGGCACATCAAAAAAATACAGGTTTTGGACTCTCTAATGAGAGTTAGTTCGCTTATTTTTCGAAAAAAAAACCATCGTTTGCACTTTTTTCTTCCAGGTTTTTGGGCAGTAACTCTGAGTTTCCGAGATTTCAACATGCCTTTACTCCGGATACGTGTTTTGATGATTGGATAGACTTTTTCAAATTCAAGAGAATTGTGCTTTCTAAAGTACAAAATAATGTTGAGGAAGTTTCCATCGAAAATCCTATTTTTGTGAAAGTTCGGTTTTTAGCCTAGAGTAGTCATGCCTTCCATATCGTTGCACTTCCTTGCTTACAGAGCTTCCCGCC